AGGGGCACATATGTTTTATCAGAACAAAGAAAGCACATGATTACACTGTAGTTATAGCTAAACTGTAGAACATTGTTATTTTCTTCTCCATAAATTTTAAAAAAAAAAAGAAAAAATGCTTTTTGGTCAGGCATTGGGTTTGCTCTCCAATGGTCACCAGTTCGAGTCCCCTCGGGGCCACTGAGGTGAGTACCCTGTCGTAAACTTTAGGGCCCCGTGGAATTAGTCGAGGTGCGCGCAAACTAGTTCGGACATCCACGGTTATCAAAAAAAAAAAAAAAATCGCAGAACACATTACTTTCTAGCTAAATCAGCCTGTTCCTTCTCTTTGGTAGATAATACTTCTCGGATGCTGCCAAACAATAACAAATTCATCCATTACTCGAAAAACTCAATAAGTAGTCCTGTAATTATCGTAATTTTGTATGCAGCACACTTTTATTTATGTAGTAATTTGCTTCTCATGGATTTATCTACAAAAGCATATTCTTCATATCTCAAAGGAAAAAAAAACTCATTTCTTATTTCCCTTTTTTGAAAACAGACATTGTTACTAATGACTACTATTATTTTTGTTGCAAGTTATTTCTATTACCTAGTACACATGTCATTTGTTTGAATTTAAGATTTTAAGTTTTGTTAATTTGATTTTGTCGAGACATGTGACCTTAGCCACCAATGTCCTGTAGTTGTCCCCATATCTGTCTGCAGTTCAAACAAGTCGCGTAGTGCACATCTATTTAGTGCTAGGTACAAAGTTACTTTCTACTCCTGTTGACTCGAATGTACCAATTCATTCTTTCATGTCGTTTTTGCATGTACAGGATCGTCCTATAGCTGCATAAAACCAGACGCCTGAAGCCACATAGGAATGCTTGCTCTTAGTCCACCGGTCTGTTTGAGATTGATTTAGCATTGATTGGACAACGTAGTACAATTCTCTGTCAATAAACCCGCTAAATCTAAATTGATTGTATTCTATCTACGATTCATTTTATTATTTTGATTTGTTTGATTTTGCTTTCCAAAAGTAGTCTGGTGTGCCTTGCTGCTTTGTAACTTGTCAGGGTGTGACGATGTTTTGCAATAGAGGAAAATGAATTTGTATTGATGCATTAATCTTGCTTCAGTCCAACACTCAAAATTGTGCAGTTATGGGGAACTTAATAGTCCAAAAATATTATATTCCTTTGTTTCGCTCAATTATTCCTGCACATGGGAATGCATTAAGTACCAAGGGCTCAAACCATGAGAGACGACTCTAGGTGAAGGTCTCTCTTTGGTAAGCGTACTATTTTTAGCAAGATCAACCGGAGAAGTGGGGTTTGAGTTGATTGGATCTCAATGACCAGATGTTCGGGATACAATATTGCTGTTCTAATAGTACAATAGACAATATTCTAGCGTCATCTATCAAGATCTGGCCTTGTCGACTAAGAATATTTTGAGAAAATACTTGACAGTTAAAAGTTATGTGTAGTGCATGTGCATCTAGATTGCTTAAATTAAGGTTTGCTCTGTTTTTGTATTATTAGTTGGCATTGAATTGTCACTTTGTACAGGATAAGAACAGGGTTTCTTTAAACATTGGCGATTTCTTTAAAGCGAGTTATGTCGATTAAACCATATGATATTAACGTTTCTTGTGTTTGACAAGAAATTCGTATTGCTTATATCTAAATGGCATTGGATTATTCTATTGTGAAGCATGTAGGAGTCAAACTATACAAGTTACAATGAAAGAAAAGGGGTATTGCTTGATGTTATGTACTAAACATTTTTAATTCAATATGGAGGCAGATTGTACAGTTCAAAAGATTAGTTGAATGCTGATTAAAGCGTGGGTTTTATGGATTGTGTGGATAGCAATTATGAGTCATGCGAAATATGTAGGTAAAATAATGTTTAACTAGTTTAAATTATAATTTCAATGGTGCTTAACGTGTTTTGAAATTAAATTTGGGGATAATTGTAGCAGCAGACCAATACCTTTGGATTTTTCGTAGACTTCACTCTAATTTTCAGTTTGTGCTACCAACGGTTCCAAACTTTTGAAAAATTAGCACTCAGAGTCCAAAATGACAGAAAACATTAATTCCATCGTTCATTGACTTGGAAAAAGAAAAAAAATGGATATATTGACCATTTTAAACAAGAGCTTTCGTCATTTAAAAGTTGGTATTTTTGGGTTTTGGGTTTATTTGGGGGTGGGTAGGGTTGAGGTGAGGTGGGGTGGGGAAATTTATCTATATTTTTAATTATTTCAAATGATGAAAAAGCCCCTATTTAAAATTATCAAAATATCCAATATTTTTATTTTCCAAGTCGGCGCAATTAATGTTTTTTGTCATTTTGGATTTTGAGTGCTAATTTTTCAAAGATTTTAGACCATCGATGGTACAAACTAAAAGTTAGGGTAAAGTCTGAGAAAAATTCAAAGGTTTGTGACTGTTGCTACAATTATTCCTTAAGTTTTGATACATGTAGGAAACAAAATGGTTAAGAATTTCAGCTGATTTTTCTCATTCCTATTTTATTTCATTTTTTAAGATGAGTTTGATATGACCGTTGAAGCTTACTTTTTAGACTTTCGATATGCTCGTTATTATTATTAAATCTTTATTCCTAACTTTTTAGGCAAATATAAAGAATTCTGCCAAGATTTATGAATATATTTCCAGGGGGTTCCCAGTTGACCGCCCCTAGATATGATCCTTACGAATAAAGAAGGTGATATCAAATTTATTGCTCATTTTGGTAAAATGGGCTGAAATTTACAATTTTTTAACTGATAAAAGGTTAATTTTAACCATTGGATATTTTATGGATTTACAAGTTTTATTCACTCATATTATACATTTCATCAATTTTTATTGGCGCTTTTATCTAAACCACCTCTTAATGAGGAAAAATATATATTAATAAAAGTAAATATAACAAGAAAATGATGATATTTTAATCACAAATAATGCTATTCAGCACAACATGTGTCAAACACCAGTTTAAGTGACAATTGCATAAAATTAAATAATAGACTCATTTAAATGCAATATCATATAATTCATTTAATTGAATTCACCAAATATAATCACCAAAACTGATGCTCTAACACTACTCGTACTAACGAATATTATTATTTAGCCTCTGTTTGGTTCACATTTTGAGTTCAAGAATGTATTTTTTTATTTGATACGATGGAGAATGTGTAGTTGAAAGAGAACGAAAAGTTTTTGATGTGATGCAAAATATTATTTTATTGAAAAATATGTGATTGAAAATGAGTAGAATGATGAGAATAAACTTGCACAAATGTTCTTCAGTTCATGTCTGCCAATTAATTNTACAAATTCTGTCAATTTCCTCTGTACGTATAGCATCATTCTTGCATTAATCTGTCCATTCTTTTTCTATTCCTTGTTAAAGAATTTTTTGATAAAGCAAACTTTTCTAGCTCCGGCAAATCAATTTTGAAAAAAATATTCAAATATATTTAAAAATAATTTCTTAATTTTTGACTATTCAAAAATTTTACCCAATGAACCCATAGTATTGTACACGACAATTGAAATTTTATAATTATATAGTTTTGAGCTATAGAAATGTATTCAAATTTATTAATATTTCCATACATTTGATATGAAGTATGAACCGTCAATCTCATATAATAACAATTATTTCGAGAGTACGTTGAATTTTATTATTGCATGCTCCCCTTTTTACTGAATCGTCATAACAATTTTTTTGGTGGTCGAGACTTGTTCAAACGAAGACTGCAAAATCTTAAATCGCTTGAACTTGTTGAATTAAGAGCTTGTTTGGTAGAGATTAAAATCAGATTAAAATTGAAAAATTAGTCGTCATTATTGACTTTTATTAGACGAGTGAGACACAATAGCGACTATATTTTCAATTTTAATTGGATTTTAATTCCTCCCAAACAAGCTGTAAATTGTTCTAATCATTTCCTTTTTTTTTCTTCCAATTTTGATACCCAATCCCAAAAAAGAGGATAGCATATTTTAGATTCCTCAAAAATATACCTTCCTCAAATTCCCTTACGTGTAGCATTATTCTTGCATTAATTTGTCCATTCTTTCTCTCTTTCTACTTAACTTGTATTCCTTGTTCAAGAAATTTTTGATAAAGCAAACTTTTCTAGTCCCGGCAAATCAATTTTGAAAAATATATTTAAAAATAATTTCTTAACTTTTGACTATTCAAAAATTTTACCTTAATGAACCCATAGTATTGTACAAGACAATTGAAATTTTATAATTAAATAGTTTTGAGCTATAGAAATGTATTTGAATTTATTAATATTTCAACATGAACCGTCAATCTCATATCATAACAATTATTTTGAGAGTACGTTGAATTTTATTATTGAACGCTCCCCTTTTAACTGAATCGTCATAACAATTTTTTTGCTGGTCGAGACTTGTTCAAACGAAAATCGCAAAATCTTAAATCGCTTGAGCTCGTTGAATTAAATTGTTCTAATAAATTTTTTTTTTTTCCCCAATTTTGATACCCAATCCAAAAAAAAAGGATAGCATACTTTAGATTCGTCAAAAATATACCTTCCTCAAATTCGAAAGCAAGAAAATTTACCACAGAGCCCAAAAAAGAACAGTTTCTAATATTCAGCTTATCTCCACGTGTCAACAGATCAGTCTTTCCACGTGTCAAAAAGGCAGTTCTGAGAAACCGTGGCCGCAGACCATTTGACCCCCAGACCCATATCCTTCGCGGGTCAATTCGGAGAAAATCTAAGGGTATTTTCGACCTTTAAAATATCCCAACATCATCTCTCAAAAGGCGCTGCAATGGGTTTCTTTTAGGGTATATTCTTTCTTCTTCTTTTTTTTTCTCTCTCTAAAATTAATGTATAACTGATCACCTATGACCAATACATATGCAAAGATACAGACAGGTTTTTACATTTAGATAGAAAGAGTGGGGAGCAGTTTGCTAAATTTGCAAGATTTTTGTTTTTGTTTATGTTTTTTTCCTTAATTTACATTCTTGGGTCATGCATTGATTCGTCGTCTCTAGTGGTTGAATTTCCTCCAGAAATCCAAGGTGATTCTTTTTTATTTTTTATTTTTTTTATTGGGGTAGGATTTCTTTGTGTTTATGTGCTTTTTAAGCTACCATTTTAGTTGGGGTAGGTTTCGGGTTGGTGTCTGTTTCAAAGATTTCTAGGAATCTAATTTAAATGGTATTCTTGATTGCAATTCACACTTGAGTTTATTACGGTTTGTGATTATTCTTTTCGTTTTTAACACGGGTATGAACGTCGGTTATGAACATTTGATGCTCAGAGACTCGATCTTCTTGTGTAATTTCATCATTTTGGATGTCGTGCAAAATTGTGCTTTCCAATTTTTTCATTCACTTCTATGATTTCTTAATCCGAGTGAACTGGAGATCGGAAAGCGCATTCTTTTTTGATTTATAATTTTCAAAGTGAATTGGAAATCGGTCCAATTTGGTAGATTCTACATTTTGAATCTTAATGTAGTTTGAGAGTGCCTCCTTGCTTCTGCCAACTTGCTGATCTTAGTCGCATCAATTAATTCTTTGATTTGTATTTTGAAGCTGTACTATATACGTTGTAAGGATTTAGAAATGGAAAAATATTATCTGTGTGTGGACTTCCATTATGCAGTCATGTTTCGGGAGAATTTGTAATAAAACGATGCTATTGCTTCTTTTGTGAATGCATTTTGGTACTTCGAGTGCTTTTTATTAAAAATATAACTTCATGTACTAACTGAAGGCTCAATAATGCAGAAATCTCTGTTTGCTTGTTCTTCAATGTCTTTCTGAGATCATGGTGCAAACGTGAATAATGGCTGCTTGTTATGTTATTTATTTGAGGTGAAAATGGATGATGAAGGTGCCATTTGGATTGGCTAGTCCTCTGCTTTATAACTCTTTTAGATTGTCCCCATATCCACATCGATTTCTCAGCATCACCTGAAAATTGGTTCTCTTCAAGCTATTTCTGATGACATATTTATAGTTAGGACTAAGGAATAGTAGGTGGAGATATTAATTACAAGTTCAGAAACTAAATATTCACTTACATAGTTGGATGGAAGAGTTAATTTTACCTCCATGTCAGAAGCAGAACATTCACACTCCTAGAAGATGTGTACCAAGTGGTAAAGATCTATGGGTCGCTGTGCGAGAGGGGTCTGTGTCTGATGTAGACTCAACATTGGCATTGCTGAAGAAAAATGGGGGAAACGTCAATGCAAGGGATTCATTTGGTCTCACACTTCTTCATATTGCAACCTGGAGAAATCACGTGCCTATTGTTAAAAGGCTGCTTGAGGCTGGTGCAGACCCGAATGCGAGGGTATGCTAAACCCTCTGATCCTTTTACTTTTCACCTAGTTGTTTTTTTATGCTGTCAGTTATAAAATTGTGGGGTTTTATTCTGTCTTTCAGATGTTGCTGTTTTTATTTTTTTATCTTATATGTTAGGCACGGAATTCAATGGTTTTGTGGTTAATTTTGCAGAAGCATGCAAAAATATTGGAAAGAGCAGAAAGAAATATAACCTTACTAGGTTTCTAAGTGCTCAAATAATAGAGTCCCACTTGATTGTTCAACTTGAACATGTTTTTGACGTTTATCATGATAATATCCCTGAACAAATAAAATGTTGTGTTAGTTAATAGGAATGCTGAAATTTGGAACGTTCTATAAGTTTTCCTAACAGTGGAAACGCTTTATCTAGTGCAGAGTTGAAGAGAGCCTTGAGAGACACACTACTTTGATCTCTTTGTGGTCTCACTTTAAATTACTACTCGTTGTTTTGATTTAAACTATCAAATAACATAAAAATCTTGTCGCAAAATTGTAAATTTAGGCCATATTCCAATCGCACTATGTTTAGGTTCTGATTGTTGGGCCTCTCAGAACTATCGCGTGACTAATTGAAGTTTCTTGATTAGTTCCTTCTTGTAACTGTTTATCCTTTTTCCAAGCTATATTAATTTCTGCTCCCAGAAAATTTCTGAGTCTTCTTCCTTCTCTTGATAATCCTATTGGAAATTTCTGTTGTAAAATGCTTTATCCTCGTTACCCTTTGTCACGAGGACAGAATATGTATTTCTAGTTTCTGTCTTCCTATCTTCTAATGGTATATTAAATATTGTGAATGACAATTTGATTAGTTGGAATGTTCTTATATGATTGTGCTAATTACCTTTTATGTTTTGGTTAGAATTTTATTCTAGAAGAATCTAAGAACAAGAAAAAAGAATCTGTCATATTGTTTGTCTTTCTAATTTTCCCAGTAATAGCTGTGGCCACCAACTACTGCCTTGTGACCACAGATTTATATATTCAAGTTAATTCATGATATTTTCATGTAATGCGTGCCCATATTCCTAGTAGTTTTTTGATTGTGTGTTTTCCTTGCTTTTCCTGAATGATTTGTTAACAACTGTTGTCTTTGAAGAATTTCTAGGAGAAATCATTTCAAATAGCACGATATGTTTTTTGTTTAAAGATGCCTGTTTTGGTGGGAGATGACAAGGGCTATAACCATAAAATCTTGTTCAGGTTTCTTAATGCAGATCATGTTTCATTGTTTCTGAATATCCGTTGATTTTCATTTTCAGGATGGTGAATCAGGATGGAGCAGCCTTCACAGAGCTCTTCATTTTGGTCATCTTGCAGTTGCTTGCGTCCTTCTTCAGTCTGGTGCTTCTATCACACTGGAAGACTTGAAATCCAGAACACCGATTGATCTCCTCTCTGGGCCCGTGATGCAGGCTGTTGGGAAGGCTAACAGTTCAGGTAGTTGTGTTTAGCTGCTGTAGATAACTGTGAAGTAGTTGAGAGCAGCTTTTAAAACCATATTCTGTTTGTTCAGTCGCCACCGAGGTTTTCAGCTGGGGGAGTGGTGTCAATTATCAACTTGGAACTGGAAATGCTCACATTCAGAAATTACCATGCAAAGTTGATTCACTTCATGGATCATTCATTAAATTAGTTTCTGCTTCAAAGTTCCACAGTGTGTCTGTTAGTGCACGTGGAGAAGTCTACACCTGGGGATTTGGAAGGGGTGGCCGTCTTGGGCATCCCGACTTTGATATACACAGGTAAATGACTCACTTTAGCCATTTTCAGCTAGTTACAGGGAAAAATGATACTTCAGCCTTGTTTACTGAAGGAAATCTAGAAATTTAAGGAGTACTTGTAACCAACAATGCCTTTGGCTTAATGATTCTGAGAGTCACTTTAGACATTTTCAGCCAGTTACTGGAAAAAAGATGCTTTAGCTTTGTTTACTGAAGAAAATCTTGAAATTTAAGGAGAACTTGTAACCAACAATGATTTTGGCTTAATATTCTGATTGCATTCCTTTTCCTTTTTAAGATTTGGCTCTCATCATCATGCTATAATTGAACTCATTCACTCTGAAGTGTATTGGTGTCAATGGACTTCTATAAAATGTTATATTTTGGGTTTCATTTTGTCTGTTCCACCCCCTTTGGCTCTCTTCTGTGGGTTTTTCGAAGGGAGTATTAAAAGGAAAAATCGAAGTTTGTCTCATTATATTAACTTTATTCGGGAGAATTGGTGTCCAAAAAAAAAAAAAAAAAAGGATTCCTCTTACCTGACTCTCTGTTGTGTTGAAGTAGGAGATTGATCTAGTTTTTTAAAATCTTAGAGTGGGTTACACAAGTCAGTTTTTCACCAGTTATAGACATGCCCATCAGTTAAAAGTAAAAATATATACTAAAAAAATGGAGAGTACTTGAATTCTTTTTCTTTGTATTTTCTGGTGTAATTTCTTTTAATGATTTCTATTTTTGCAGTGGTCAAGCTGCAGTCATAACTCCACGTCAAGTGACTTCAGGTTTAGGTGCACGCCGGGTAAAGGCAGTTGCTGCTGCTAAACATCACACTGTTGTTGCAACAGAGGGTGGGGAGGTTTTTACATGGGGTTCTAATAGAGGTAAAATTGCATTGGTTTTATTGTCTTGTTCATGTTAGCCTCTGCAGTTCATGTTCTAAAAGTATTCGCATTCTTGTTCGTTAATCAGGCTGAATGGGAAATGGAGTAGTCCTACAAGTAGCTGCATTTTAGTTGCTTTTTCCTTTTAGTTATGTAGTGCAACATGGAATTGGTGGAACGACACAACCTTTCTTGCTGCAGTTAATATTGTATCCCGTCTTTATGGTTTTAACTGTGTTGTCTTTTTTCTAAATAATATGCTGTAGAGGGCCAACTTGGCTATACTTCTGTTGACACCCAGCCCACACCACGGAGAGTGAGTTCCTTGAAGTCAAGAATAGTTTCTGTTGCTGCAGCAAACAAACACACTGCTGTAGTTTCAGAGGCAGGTGAGGTTTATACATGGGGTTGCAATAAAGAGGGCCAGCTTGGTTATGGCACCTCTAATTCAGCGTCAAACTACATCCCTAGAGTGGTTGAATATCTGAAGGGCAAAGTTCTAACTGGAGTTGCTGCAGCTAAGTATCACACTATTGTTCTAGGATCTGATGGAGAGGTATGTCAAAAACGATCAACTACATCTCTTGTTATATGTAATAAGATGACAAATATTCTTAGCATATGGTTATTGTTGTTGATCTCTGTCATCTGGCAGGTGTTCACTTGGGGCCACCGGCTTGTTACTCCGAGACGCGTAGTCATTGCGAGAAATATTAAAAAATTTGGAAATACTACATTGAAGTTCCATCGTAAGGAACGCCTTAATGTTGTTGCTGTAGCTGCTGGGATGACACACAGCATGGCTCTTACAGATGATGGTGCATTGTTCTTCTGGGTGTCCTCCGATCCTGATCTTCGATGTCGGCAGGTTTAGTTTATTAAACTTCATGAAGTGTGGCTTTCCTTTATTGGAATTCCCGTACTGAACATGGTAGTATTTTGTGTTTATATAGTTATATTCACCGTGTGGGGGGAACATTGTCAGTATATCTGCTGGGAAGTACTGGTCTGGTTCTGTTACTGTTACTGGTGATGTTTACATGTGGGATGGAAAGAAAGGAAAAGATGCACCACCTGCTCTGACTAGGTTGCACGGAGTGAAGAAAGCAACTTCGGTTTCAGTTGGAGAGACACATCTATTGATAGTTACTTCTCTCTATCATCCTGGCTTTCTTCCTAGTGTAGTTAGCAGTGCTCAGAAGCTAAAAGTTCAGGATGAATTAGATGAACTGCATGAAGGTTTTGCATTCAGTGATTTGGAATCCGAGGAAGTCTCCTCTACCGTAGAAAATGTTGAAATTACGAATTGTGCAGTGCCAAGTTCAAGAAACTTTTCTGTGAACAGGACAGCTCCAAGTTTGAAAAGCTTCTGTGAGAAAATGGCAGCAGAGCATTTGGTAGAGCCACGGAATTCTATACAACTGCTAGAAATTGCAGATTCACTTGGAGCAGATGATCTTAGAAAACATTGTGAGGTATGCTTCAAACCCAATTCATATTGTTTAACTGCATCACCTTATAGTGCTAATCACCTTATAGGGCTAAAATATGGAGAAAATCTCTGGACTCAATTCATCTTTCCGGTTTTTGGATTCTTGTTGAACATGATAAAAAATCTAGCTCCACTGATTCTTTTAATTTTGTTCTTCAATTCAAAATCAGAGAAATAGCAGGGAAGTCGTGGTAAGTTGGTTCCAACGTTTATTTCTTGGTAGATTGGTTCCCTACCTTTCAAGTTTGTAGCTTCTTGGTCCCCAACGGACGATTTTGATCCAGTTGATTGTTAAAAAGATGATATTGTTGAAAAGACTTGTAATATTATTTTCAATGATACGAAAAGAAAAAAGATAAAAAGAAAATGTAAGAAAAAAGAAACTTACTCTCCCTAGCTAATGTTTGCTGTCTCACTCCCAAGTTGCTCATCGTACCTTATCCAAAAAAAAAGTTGCTCATCGTAGACCATGCAGATGCAATAATTTTGTCTCTCTTTTCCCTTTTTTTTTTTTCCTTTTTATTTATTTATTTATCGAAATCAAGGGTTTATCTATTTTACCCCTCAAAAAGTTCAAATTCGTTGGACAAGTGAGAGTCATGTGCTTTGATGATGGCCACATGGATTGAAACCGTCCACTGAGGACCAAGATGTACAAACTTGAAAAGGTTGGAGACTCATGCCAAGAAAATAAATATTGAGATACCATTTGACAAATTTATTAGGCCATGGACTTCCACTGCAATTTACCCACTCAAAATGCTCTTACTTTCTATCTCGAGGAATGTGCATTCAGAGCTCGTTGAGTTACTTTCAAGTAACTTCAATTTTACTCATTTTATGTATGAGTAGTATTTCATTTTTTATCTTGTTACTTATAATAGGAGTTCAAATGTTAAATTTGAGAAAATGGCATTACTATATATTATATAATGTAGTTATGGAATACTATACTTCATTTAATTTTGTTAAAATATTTTAGTAAGTTGGGATGTTATTGAATTTAATAATCAATACATAAAAATCAATTTAACAAATTTTTATGTAAAGAAGCTCATTATTAAAAAACCAATAGAATTCTTTCATCCAAGATTTTTTTAACTATATTTAGAATTGGAACATTTTAAATTCATATATTAATATCTTAACTGACGTTGAAGACTTGCTAATGTATCTTTTTATTGTTGAAGTTAAAAAATGCCTACATATCTCATGTTGAAGTTATTTAACAGACCAATGAAAACTAATTATCAGCTAAATTATTAAATTGTCTTATTAGATATTAGAACATATTTTAATAACAAATTGTAATTATAAGAAATAGTTATTATGCAAACAATATCTCCAAATTGCTAATACTTGAATCATAATTTTTGCCTTTAAACTTTATCATTTTAGTTTTTTGAAATCGTTATATTTATTATATATTTACTATTTCAAAATTTGAATTTAGTAACAATATTTTAATATTTTGTGATATTACGTTAGGATGTGGGTTGTAATATTTTAGGCCTTTTCTTCAGTCTGTAGCTTCCTTTGTCTGTAGGAAACTCAGTAGCTTAATGTAAAATTTTACAGTTTTAAATATTAATCATTTTATTGGTCATCAAAACAAGTTGCTTATTTGACAATGACTTCTCTCTTATTGTCTAAATAAGTAAATCTTTACAAATAAGTAAGAAAAAAAAAAAAGGAAAGTTATGCAAACATGTCCAAAATAAGAAGTTACTTATAAGTTTGACTTATAACCTCTGATAAATGCTCTAACTAGCTTGTAGCAAGCTAGTACCTATTAAAATATGATACATATATACTGTGTTATATGTGGCCAGTTTGACAATTTATACACACACAAGTCACACCCTCTGCATGATGTTCTCATTGCACACCTGCATATGTATACTGCATAGTATGTGGCAAGGTTGACAATTTATAAAGACAGTTACACCCGTTCTGCATGATGTTTTCATTGCACACCTGCACATTGCCATCTGTTGTGCTAAAATAGAAGGCCATGATGATGGTGAGTTGAAGACCCTGAGGGATTAGTAGCTTGCCCATTGTCTCATGGCTCAAGCCATTTTCAGAAACTTGTTGTATCACTCGAGTCCACACAAATTTCTTGGGCCTTCACTGTTGCATGTTCATTTTGAGATGTGTCATAATTGCAGAAAGAACCTGTTGCTAAAGGAAATAACATTTCCTTTTAGTGATAATCATTATCATTCCTCTGGATTTATATCAAGTGCAATTTCGCTTTTGTAAGCTAATAAAGTAATAATCATGATTCCTTTATACCGAAAGATGTTGGAAAATTGCTCCAGGATATTGCCATCCGGAACCTTGATTATATTCTTATGGTCTCGGCACAAGCTTTTGCCAGCACTTCATTGGATATTTTGGTGTGTCTTGAGAAACTGTTAGATATGAAGTCATCAGAACCATGGAGTTACCGTCGGCTTCCAACCCCCACTGCTACTTTTCCTGTCATTATCAATAGTGAAGATGAGGATAGTGAGAATGATTTACTTAGGACACGTGACCACAGTACAAATAAGCCAACCTTAAAAATTGAGGGAGTTCAGAAATCAGAGAGCTTTCTACAACCGTATGATGTTGCAAAGGAGGGCATTTCCAAACAAGTGCGAGCTTTGAGGAAAAAGTTGCAACAGATTGAGTTGCTTGAAGAGAAGTTGTCCAGAGGACACTTCCTCGATGACCAGCAGATCGTGAAACTTCAGATGAGGCCAGCATTGCAGAGCTCACTTTTTGAGCTTGGCGTGCCTACTGAAACAGTACAGACAAAGGCATCTTTGTCCGTGGATGAAAAAGATAGTAAAAAGGGGATTTCTAGAAAGCAAAGGAGAAAGAGCAAACAGAAGGCAGCACAAACTGATGAGGTGTCTAGCAGTTATGATGTAAATGCTGAATCGGACCCCATGAAGGCTTTCCTCGATATTGAAAGTTCACAAGTCACAAACAAGGTAAGGATTTCATATATCATCTTTTGATGAGCAAAAGTCAACATTCATCTACTATCTGGTGTCAAAAGGTGCATGTGCATTTATTTGGATTTGCTTGAGCTGAATATTTGTTGTGTGAGATTTATAACTTGAATAAAGCAAAACAAGTGAGCTGCTATGGCTGTTTTGTTGGGTTGGGCTTATTGCATGTTGGTATACATGAGATTTTTGGGGAAGTTTTCGAAGTGGTTGGCATTATAATACTTCCATTTATCAAATAAGTCGGAGGACTTCTAACTCTCTTTGTAGCATTGTTACTTTTTCAGAAAACCGTAGAGGGACGAATTAATAGTCACTACTAACAATAATATGTTACTCCAGTTAGCTTCTCATAACTAATTTCCTTTTTTCAGCTCTAACACATCATTTTATATCTGTTGGAAGTGTGTTTATAACGTGATGTAGCTTATTCTAAAACTTTTTCCCAGAAAGGTTATGGAATCAAAAAAAATTGCCAAAGTATTTGAGCTTTAATGCTACAGTTAATTCAATATGATTAAATGTGCCTGAATAGTGCACATCTCTATTTGTCATCTAGGAGAAAGATGCTCATATGGAGAGTGCTGAGGCCAGCAAAGAAGCCAAAGTTTCTCAAATTTGCAATAAGAATGCAATTGCAGACATTTCGAAAAGTAAGACCGTCTCTCCTTCTGCTTCCAAGAAAAAGAATAAAAAAGGTGGGCTCTCAATGTTCTTGAGTGGTGCCCTCGATGATGTGCCAAAAAGTGTTGCACCTCCTCCAGTGATACCCAAAATTGAGGGTCCTGCTTGGGGTGGTGCTAAAATTTCAAAAGGATCTACTTCACTTCGTGATATACAGGATGAGCAGAGTAAAACCAAGGCAATTAATCCTACACCAATTAAATATCAAGTCGAGGAGCTTGCTGATGGCTGTAATGTTGGAAAGCTCCAACTAAGTTCATTTTTGTCTTCCACCCCGATTCCCATGGTCCCAGGAAGGACGACTCCAGCATCTGAGGGAGAAAGAAATACTCCTCCTTGGGCTGCATCAGGAACTCCACCTTCTCTTTCCCGTCCCTCTCTCAGGGACATCCAGTTGCAACAGGTGATTCTCTTCCTGTGTATACATGGAAACCTGAGAGACTGCTTATGGTTTTTACTTTTCCCTTTATATATCAGATGTTTACTTTTCCCTCTATATATCAGATGTGAAGGTAAGGAGTTACTTCCATTTTCTGAGGTCTCTGTGACATATTAATAATGCAGACATCTATGTATTCATTAAATGGGAAAGAATTCTAAATTCTAATCTTCTCTAAGACCTTTGCCAACTAGTTTTAATTTTTCATTTTTCCATTGACTTTTAACAGTGGATAATGCTTTTGTACGAGACTTGTGTTAGTTCCTCTTTGCCTGCATCGAACATACCGCTGTTAATTCGTTGAAATATACGTTTTCTTGCATTTTCGTTTGCTTATTATGTGCATCTTCGTAACAATTTTGCTTCAGGGAAAACAGCAGCAGGGTATGTCTCATAGCCCAAAGACAAGAACCACTGGATTCTCTGTGATGAGTGGTCAAGGTTCACCATCAGAATCCGGGGGTGTGAACCGCTGGTTCAAACCAGAGATTGATGCACCATCATCAATACGCTCAATTCAGATTGAGGAGAAAGCCATGAAGGACCTTAAACGCTTTTACAGCAGTGTTAGGATTGTAAATAATCAGTCATAGGGAGTTCAGTGGTAGTAAGTTATTCGTTTTCCTGCTTTTTAGGTAGGACTTTGCTGTCAATTGACTGCACAGATAATCACACCATGGAACGTGTGTTTGATTTCAAGATAGTTTTCTGATCGCTGATCAGCTTTCACATGTATTTCACTCTAACGTTGTTTAACATAATTATCTTTGCATCACCAATGCTAAGAAGCATCAAGAATGGCTCCATGTTATGCAGTCTTGATTTCTTTTCAATCCTTCTGTAACTTGTAGAGTTGACAAATAAGCCATTTGATTCTTGTAATGTATAATAAAATAGAAGATACCTTTATATGAAATTTTTACAGTTAGTTAATATATCTGAAAGCAATATTTTTCCATTTCTCAATTGGATACATGAGATGTAGTGCTTTCACTGGAGGTGGTTGTGCCCCTTGTTATGTTTCTGCAATGGGAATACGATAGTCTACAATCTAGCTTCTTTAGCTATTAATTCTCTGGTTTTTCATAACTGGGTCGATTTTATAATCATCTCATTGTGCTCTGATATTTCATCAATACAAGCTTCTATTTGATTCGATAAATGAAAATAAAACTCTCTCTTACCACTCAACTATAAGAAAAAGATGAATAGACAAAAGTAGATGAAAATGAGACATCTGACTGCTAAAGCAAAAGCTGTAGTATTAGTAACAATCTACATTTATAGTACCATGGCTTCTTTGATCTTCAATGGCTATAACTAGTGTGGCCATTATGAGAGCGTGTCGATCGCGACACAAGTTTTTAAGAACTTCGGAATTAATCGAAGTGCGCGCAAGCTGGCCCGGACATCCACGGTTATCAAAAAAAAAAGTTTTTAAGAACTTCGACATGCTAACATCAATCTATGAGAACTGAGAACTAAGCCCCTGTTTGGTTTAGATAAAAATCAGAATTTTAGTGATCTCATGAAATTTGTTGTTAAAATTAAGCTCCTATTTGCATATCATTATTTCAATTTTTTTTTCTCAAATTCATTTTCAACCACACAGAATGCAATATTTTTTCAATTTTTTTTCTCAAACTCATTTTCAACTACACAGAGACTAAATTTAGCTCCTGTTTGTCTACCATTATTTCAAAAAAATTGTATGCTACGGTAAGATTTTTCACCACATTTACCAAATAAAATATTTTACACACAAATCAATAAAATTACTTTACTTTTCAACCACACATCCTTCAAAAAATATTATTAATTACTCTATTTTTCTCCCAGGAGACAAACACACCCTTAAATGAGATGCATGTGATTTTTGATTCGATAAATGAAAATAAAATTCTCTCTTACCACTCAACTATAAGAAAAAGATGAATAGACAAAAGTAGATGAAAATGAGACATCTTACTGCTAAAGCAAAAGCTGTAGTATTAGTAACAATCTACATTTATAGTACCATGGCTTCTTTGATCTTCAATGGCTATAACTAGTGTGGCCATTATGAGAGCGTGTCGATCGTGACACAAGTTTTTAAGAACTTCGGAATTAGTCGAGGTGCGCGCAAGCTGGCCCGGACATCCACGATTATAAAAAAAAAAGTTTTTAAGAACTTCGACATGCTAACATCAATCTATGAGAACTGAGAACTAAGCCCCTGTTTGGTTTAGATAAAAATCAGAATTTTAGTGATTTCATGAAATTTGTTGTTAAAATTAAGCTCCTATTTGCATATCATTATTTCAATTTTTTTTTCTCAAATTCATTTTCAACCACACAGAATGCAATTTTTTTTCAATTTTTTTTTCTCAAACTCATTTTCAACTACACAGAGACTAAATTTAGCTCCTGTTTGTCTACCATTATTTCAAAAAAATTGTATGCTACGGTAAGATTTTTCACCACACATTTACCAAATAAAATATTCTACACACAAACCAATAAAATTACTTTACTTTTCAACCACACATTCTCCAAAAAATACTATTCATTACTCTATTTTTCTCCCAATAATAGAAGACAAACATACCCTTAATTCAATGGCACAAGTTCTTAATGCGCTAGCAATTCACTCGAGAGTTGATAACTAGTTGTAAACGAAGATAAAATTTTATGACCTTTGATCATTGCCATCCACTCTTTAACCAACTCTTCATTTTAGAGCTTTAGTATCGACTCGAAGTTAGTTCAAGTTTTGTCCCTCATCATTTTTGACTAACATCAACAAACTTGATGCTACATTGCTATTTCCTGCTTGTTATTTATATAACTTTAGCAATCAAATAACAAGCATGCAAGTCCTTGCCCCATTCTCACCATGCTTAATTCCTTGGTCGCCCCATTATTTTCAGTGCTAATCTCCTGTCAACGACGATATAACCTGTACAACCCCCCCCCCCCCCCCCCCCCCCCCCC